GTGCACAACCTGCCAGTGCCCACCCTCTTCGGGACCGTGAAGCAGGCGCCTAAGACGGGCTCCAGTAGCCCGTTTGCTGGCAACAGCCCCGCCCGAGAGGGCGAGCAGGACGCGGGGTCCCTGAAGGATGTTTTTAAAGGCTTTGACCCCACCGCCTCCCCCTTTTGCCAGTAGTGTGAGGTCGGGGCGGAGCTGTCCCTACACCTACCCTTCCTAGGGCAATATTTAAGTGCAGCATCCAGAGTTGGGAACTTGGGGGGAGGGGGCGCCTGGGTATTCTTTCTTTTCCCTCTTTTTCTTTTTTTCTTTTTCTCTATGCTCTTTCTCGCTCTTGCCCCCCCCCCCTTTTTTTAAGTAATACTTCCTTTTTAAAACATATAAATTGTATATAACCTTCTTCAGTTCTCGTCAGTGCTGCAGGGCTCCGGGCTCCCGCCAAGAAAACCTACTTGTGCACATGAACAGTTTGCAAGTCACCAGCTGGTGCTCTGCCTGGCCGGCCCAATTTTCAGGGACTCCTTGAAGACTGGGGGCACAGGGGGTTTTCTGGACACAGCTTGGCCCCTCCTCCCCCCTCCTTGCAGGACAAAGTAGGTGTTGAGAAGGCCCTGAGCACTGCTTACGTGTTGCATGAGGAGGCGAGATGTAGCCGGGACCGAGGCAGGACCCGCTTAGGGGCCAGTGGGGGGCGAAAGATTATCCAGGAAAGGAAAGGAGCCCTGGGAGCCGCCCTGGAAGAGACAAAACCCCTTCCTGCCGCATCGCATCGCCTCTGGATTCGCGCCTGGTCCCTTGCCAGCCTCAGCCCAGAGTTCACCCTGAGCCCGCACCTCAGGCCTCGACCGCAGACGCCAGGGTGAGAGGCTGGGGCAGGGCCCGTGCTGCTTCCGGGCGGCAGCGCTGCAGATGGCATTTTCCGTCAGTATTAGCCCCTCCTGTCCTGTCCTGTCGGCCATGCCCTTCTCCCCTCGTGCCGGGGGCTGTCCTCCTCAGAAGCCAGAGTGCCCAGTGCTGGCCCTGGTGCCCCTGGGGACGGCTCAAGGATCCGTGGCATGGCCGCCCACCAGGCCCCTGAGGAGGAGTCCTGGCTGGTTCTGGGCAGTGTTTCTGTCTCTGCTCCCTCTGCCCCTCTGCGCCATATCTGTGGGGCCGTGGTCTCAGTGTGTTTGGGTTTCTTCTAAGCAACAGGTGCACAAGTTCAGAGGCATGTGGGTGTGGGGTTGGTGGGCACTCCCCTAAAAAGGGCCCGAGGGCAGGCTGGAGAGTAGCCATGGGGGGGTGGGGGCGGGCTGCTGGGCCTCCCCCGGGAGAGGCACCAGGACCCCCCCTGCTGGTGAGGGTGTGGAACCCGAGACCCGAGTCCTGCTCCCCTGATCAGCTGAGCCGGGAAGGGAGCAGACATCTGCACCGGCTTCTCCCAGCACCTGGCTTCGGTCCAGCCCTGTCCACAGCTCCAGACGAGCCCCCATGGACACGGCCTGGGGAAGCTGGGCAAGGCCTATACCGCCAGGGGTCCCTCCCACCTGTGTTCGTCCTTGCCAGCTTCTGCCTCCTCGTCCCACTGCCTCAGCCACCTCGCTTAAGGCCCCTGTCTCTCCCTTGCTAATAATGAGGAAACCTGGTGACCCAGCCAAAGGGTTCCCCTCCCCGCACCTTGGGGTGGGAGGTGAACAAGGCTGCTATACCAAACCCCTCTCCCCGGAAAAAAAATAGTTGTGTTTGGGGCCAGAAGCGAAGGCCAGAGAGGCAGCCCCACAGGGTCAGTGCGCCGTGATCAGGTTGGTTTGGTTTGTCTTTGTCTTTTTGTTTCGTTTTTTTACACATTAGTGATATTTTTCTTCAGCCGCCAGTGTTGGCCTTGAGCAGAGGGCCGCAGCCCGTGGTGTTTGTACAATAAGTAAGAGTACACAGTGTGGCTGTGGGTTTGTTTCCTTCTCTGAGGATTTTCTTTTGTAAAAGCAAATTAAATAATTTTTTAAAACAAATTTGTGGATGAATTAGAAGCTGGAGCCCTCCTTGGATATTCAGCCTAAGAACCTCATGGGACTATGAATTTACCCCAAATTTTCATTTGCCATCAGGCCAAGCTTTTAAAAAAAATTTGTTCTCTAACCAGGATTGTAACAAAAGTGTAAATACTATTTCAGAAAGTTGATGGTGCAAATATGTATATAACGTACTGTATTTTTACAATGATCGTCGCATGCCTCTATTCCACCCCCTTTTTGTACTCTGTATCTGTCTTCCAGAAACGTCACCTGCCCTTTCTCCTGTGGTCTCTTAACCCAATAATTGTATTACTGCCATTAAAGGATGCAGTTATTTTAAAAAGTCTGCAGTCTCGTGTCCCTCCTGCTCCTGCCATGCTGTGTCTGGGACTAATCAGGAGGATGGGAGATAGTCTCAGGGTGGGGGTGAGCCTGCATCTGTGTTCCTGGTGCCGCCCCAGGGTGACAGTCGTGATAACACGGTGGGAATGGTGCCTCCAGACACCTGAGTGACTTCATCCCAGTTCCCTTGCTCCCGCTGTGGGCCAGTCTCACCGAGATACACGGTGACCCACACAGGCCCAGTCCCGCCTGCACACCACCCGTGGGACAGCCGGGCTTGTAGGGATGAGAAGAAACTGGAACCCTAACTACTATAGACAGAACGTCTGTGTCCCCTCAAAATTAATATGCTGCAACCTGGGCTCCAGGATGGTGGTGGTAGGAGGTGATAGGAGGATGGGGCCCTCGTGGATGGGATTGGTGCCCTTAGTAGAGACTCACAGAGCTGTCTTGGCCGTGTCCTCAGCCCGCCTGCCCTGAGAGGACACAGCTAGATAGGGCCATCTGTGACTCAGGAAGCGGCTCTCAGCGGCCCAAACCCACTCAGACACCACCTCGTCAGCCGGGCCTTATCTGAGGACGCCACTGCGGGGGCTGAGAGCGAGCGGGACTGAGCCATATCTCCTCTGGACATACTTTGGCTTCTGTGTCCCAACGGGCCTATCAGTTTTCCACAGCTGCTGTACAAATTAGACAAACTTAGTGGCTTGAAACTCACATTTGTTGCCATCCTGGAGGTCACAAGTGTGACATGGGTCTCCCTGGGCTAAAATCAAACTGTTCCCGGGGCTGCGCTCCTTCCTGGGAGGACGGGGATTGTGCTTCCTGGCTTTTCCAGCTCCTCAGGCCTCCTTCCCTCGTAGGCCAGGGCCCTCTTCCTCCACCTCAGAGCTCTGACCCTCCTCCCTCAGCACAGCTCTGACCACAGCCGGGCCAGGCTCTCTGCTCGTCACCGCCCCTGTGGTGAGTGGGTGATTTTCCCATCTGCACATCTGGAGTCACATCTGCAAAGCCCCACTTGCCATGGGAATTACACAGTCATGGGGTCTGGGAATTGAGACATGGACACCTTTGAGGGGCCTTTTTAAAAAAATTCTCACCCTAGGATATTTTTTCCATTGATTTTTAGAGAGAGTAGAAGGGAGAGAGGGAAGGAGGGGGAGCAAGAGAGAGAAATATCGATGTGAGAAAGACACACACTGATTGGTTGCCTCCAGCACGCGCCCCAACTAGGATGGGATTGGATCTGCAACCCAGGCACGTGCCCTTCACCAGGAATCAAACCCTAGACCAGTGGTTCTCAACCTTCCTAATGCCTCGACCCTTTAATACAGTTCCTCATGTTGTGGTGACCCCCAACCATAAAATTATTTCCGTTGTTACTTCATAACTGTAATGTTGCTACTGTTATGAATCATAATGTAAATATCTGATATGCAGGATGTATTTTCATTGTTACAAATTGAACATAATTAAAGCATATTGATTAATCACAAAAACAATATGTAATTATATATGTGCTTTCCGATGGTCTTAGGCGACCCCTGTGAAAGGGTCGTTTGACCCCCAAAGGGGTCTCGACCCACAGGTTGAGAACCGCTGCCCTAGACCCTTCGTTGCGCAGGCCGGCTCTCTAACCCCTGAGCAGCACCGGCCAAGGCCATTCTGCCCTTTATTGGGGATCCCCAAACATTTCTCCAGAAAGAGTTCTCCTCGCCTTGACCCTGATGGCTGGTCTAAACCAGCGAGCTCCAGGTTTATGTCAGAAATTCAGAGGGCTGTCTCAGAATTCCTTCTAACTCATCCGTAAGGGTGATTTCACCTGAACCTCGGAACTCCGGCTCAGCTGGCTTCCGCAGCCAGGAGTCCGCCATCTCAGGCAAGAATGCCCACGGGGCAGCTCCCGGGTGGGCAGGGAGGGCCGCGGGCTCCAGGTTCACCGGTTTGGGCCGTCTTTCCACACTGCTGGCCTGGGCACTGTGGCAGCAGCCCGGATGGCAATGTGGCTGGAGCCCCTGCCAGCCTTCCCCTCCCGCAGCAAAGGGCAGACGCAGGAACGGAACTCTCCTGTATCTCTTCCCCTTAAGATACTTTTTTTTTATTATTGATTTTTTACAGAGAGGAAGGGAGAGAGGTAGAGAGTTAGAAACATCGATGAGAGAGAAACATCGATCAGCCGCCTCCTGCACATCCCCCACTGGGGATGTGCCCGCAACCCAGGTACATGCCCTTGACCGGAACCGAACCTGGGACCCTTCAGTCCGCAGGCCGACGCTCCAACCACTGAGCCAAACCGGCTTCGGCCCCTTAAGATTTTTAAATTGATTTTTAGAGCTAGAAGAAGAGAGGAAAGAGAGACATCGATGCGAGAGCTACATCAGCATCAATTAGCTGAGGCACGCCCCCCACTGGGGATCCAGTCTGCAGGCCTGGCATGTGCCCTGACCAGGAATTGGACTAGCAACCTTTCGGTGCATGGGACATGCCCAACCAATGGAGCCACACTGGCCACGGCTCCTCCTGTATCTCTCTCTTTCTCTCTCCCTCTCTTTCTCTCTCTCTCTCTCTCTCTCTCTCTCTCTCTCTACTTCAGAGAGGAAGGGAGAGGGAGAGAGAGATAGAAACATCAATGATGAGAAAGAATCATTGATCGGCTGCCTCCTGCACACCCCCCACTGGGGATCGAGCCCACAACCAGGGCATGTGCCCTTCAGTCCACAGGCTGACGCTCCATCCACTGAGCCAAACCAGCTAGGGCCCCCTATATCTCTTTATGAGCCAGGAAACACTTCCTGGACTGCCCAACATCTTTTCAGGAAACTCAGTAGCAGGAATGCCATGTCCAGCTGGGGAGGTTGTGCACTGCTCAGAAGCAATGGAGTGAGCAAGTGTGGGCTGGGCTCAGCAAGTCCTGTGCCCGCACATGGGGCCTGCTCCTCCCGTTTCTCAGGAATACGGACAAAGGTGGGGGAGGGTGAATGTATTGTGAGCAGGGAGACGGCCCAAATGTCCATCAACCGGTGAATGGGTAAATAAAATGTGGTCTATCCAGACAACGGCATCTTAGTCATACAAAGGAATGAAGTGCTGATCTATGCTACAACACAGGTAACCCTTGAAAACAGTATACGGAAGGAGGAAAGACACAAACGCCACGTACTTTATGATTCCATTTCCCTCTGAAATGCCCAGAATCAGCAAATCCACAGACAGAAAGGAAATGAGTGGTTGCTAGGGCCTGGGGGAGGGGAGCAAGTGTGGGGACAATGAGATGTTCTGGAGTTAGTGATGATGGTTGCACAGCCTGCAAATATACTAAAAACCATCGAATTCAAAAGGATGGATTTTATGGTATGTGAATTTTATCTCAATTTAAAAAATCAATGGTTGAGCGTTGACCTATGAACCAGGAGGTCACGGTTCAATTTCCCATCAGGGCACATGCCCGAGTTGCAGGCTAGATCCCCAGTGGAGGGTGTGCAGGAGGCAACCGATGAATGATTCTCTCATCATTGATGTTCTTATCTCTCTCTCCCTCTCCCTTCCTCTCTGAAATCAACAAAAATATATTTAAAATTAATTAATTAATTAATTAAAAGATCAATAGCCTTCTTCTACTAGGACAGTGGTCGGCAAACTCATCAGTCAACAGAGCCAAATATCAACAGCACAACTGAAATTTATCTTGAGAGCCAAATTTTTTAAACTTAAACTATACAGGTAGGTACATTGTTATTAACTTAATTAGGGTACTCCTAAGGCTTAGGAAGAGCCACACTCAAGGGGCCAAAGAGCTGCATGTGGCTCGCGAGCCGCAGTTTGCCGACCACGGTACTAGTATAACCAACTGGGAAGTTAACAGAAAATCAGATAGTCTTCCCCAAAGCGATCAAAGTTATAAGGAATCTAGGATGTAACCTAATGAAAAACCTACGAGAACTTCATGGAGATGGCAAATAAAAACAGACGCAGCCCGGCCGGTGTGGCCCAGTGGTTGAGTGTCACTGGTAGATTCCCAGTCAGGGCATATGCCCCGGGTTGCAGAATCAATCCCCAGTAGGGGGCGTGTAGGAGAGATTCTCTCTCATTGATGTTTCTCTCTTGCTCTCCCTCTCTCTATAAAACCAATAAAAACATTAAAAAAAAACAACAACCAACAGATCCAGACTAAGATAAAGAGGAACTTTATGCAAAAAGGCCATTGCATGGGGAGCAGGCTCCTCAGATATCTGCAAGCATCTCACAATCAAACAGAAACAGGCCTTGCTGCTCTGTGGTAAGAGGGGTTTGCAGTGAGAGCAAGTTGGGGAAGTTAAGTAACTGATTAGTGTGGTTCACAGGAAACTCTCTCTGGAGAAACTGACCCGGCAGGTTTCCGTTCAGGGCTGGTTAGGAGTTGGGGGAGCCGCCTGGCCCAGGCTGGGGAGGAGAGCAGCCCAGCACAGTTTGTTCAGGGTCAAACAGGGCGAGGAACGAGCCACCGTGAGCACCTTTCCGGAGAAAACGTCAGACTTCCGGTTAAGGAGTTAAAGGACAGCCTGGAGGAAGGCCTGATCTGTGGGTGACAACTTGACATTGTCCTTCCCAACATACTCCAAAGTGTCCTGCCACAGAAGCTGCTCGTTGATCTCTTTGGTGCACTGCTGTGTTCACAGTTGTGGAAGCATCCTGACACCTGGTGAGCTCTTGATAAAAATATATTCTTGCCCTGACCGGTTTGGCTCAGTGGATAGAGCGTCAGCCTGCGGACTCAAGGGTCCCAGGTTCGATTCCGGTCAAGGGCATGTACCTGGGTTGCGGGCACATCCCCAGTAGGGGGTGTGCAGGAGGCAGCTGATCGATGTTTCTCTCTCATCGATGTTTCTAACTCTCTATCCCTCTCCCTTCCTGTCTGTAAAAAATCAATAAAATATTTTTTTTTTAAAAAATTCTTTTAGGCCCTGGCCGGGTAGGTCAGTTGGTTAGAGCATCATTCGATGCCAAGGTTGCAGGTTCAATCTCCCG